TGTCGGGGTACAGCTCTTCGTCCTCGTATTCTTCCTGTACCTCCTCTTCTCCGAAGGCGTCAACTCTCAGGTCATGTCTCAAGCCTTCCAGGTAGTAGCCACGACCTTCCTCCTCTTCCGGGTCCCACACATAGTGCATGTCCCAATTCCTCATGCCACCGTCTCCGACCCAGGGATCATCATCTTGGTCCTGGAACAACTCCTCAGCACTCTCCTGGTACAAAACCTCTCGGACGGAGTTGCCCCATCCACCGATGGCCCCCAACGCCGCCTCGTCGTCGTCCTCCCACTCACCCTCCTCTTCGTCCCCGTCCTCCTCTTCCTTACCCCACAGCTGGGTCACACACCCTCGGCAGAAGTTGTGCCCGCAGCCGATGGACACGGGGTCCGTGAAGTAGTCCAGACAGATGGCGCACACCGCCTCCTCCTGAAGGGTCTGCACAGGGTTGCGAGTGTTGGGATAGCCAGCCATCTTCAAGCGCTGTCGGCAGGCGTGGAGGCGTCCACTGGGAGTCGAGGAGCGGGGGGCTTCGCAGCCTTCCTCCTCAGGCCCTCAGAGAAGCCTTGCTCCCCCCTCTCCCGCTCTTCCGAGCTCGAGACGCGAAGGCCCGAGGACCGGGCTCACGCCGCGCTCCGAGGGCAGCGGGGGCCGAACCAGGCCGCGGCCCCCACTTCCCCTCGAGTGTCAGCGAGCAAACGCAAACCCCACCGCGGTTTTCGCCTCCCTCCGACTTTGCCCAAACAGGCGCCCACCTCAGAGACCGGCTTTCCTCATCCAGCGGCTCAGGCGACTGAAAATGACGTCGGCCCTCTAACCTACCCGGGAGGGGCGGTCTGGGCCGGCGGCGGACCGCGTCTCTATGGTGTCCCCGGGAGCCGCGCCGCGGGGAGCGCCCCCGTGCGTCCATCTGCCCCGCGCCAGACGCGGCTGGGGGAGGAGGCGCCGGGGCGGAGGGACCAGCGATGGACGCTGCTGAGCCGCCTTAGCCGCGCTCGGACCGTCCAGACACAGGGTCCGGCAGCCGCCCGGGAGAGCCGGGACCCAGAAACGGGCCTCAGCGGCGGTGAGTGCAGCCGCCAGCTCGAGCGCTCCCAGCCCGAGGCGGTGGGGGAGAGGCGCGGGCCGCGCGGGACTGAGCTCGCGGTGACGCGGAGTGGGCCAAGGTCAGGGCATCTGTCTGGGATTTATGTGCCTCCAGCTTAGCTTTTCAAACCAATGCACCCCTCTCTTGGTATCTGCAGAGCCTCGGCCGGCGAACCCTGACTTCTCGCTCGACATTAGTCTCTGTTCGTCTCCACGGTCCCGCGACCCCTCGGGCACTTCACACTCGGCGTGCTGCGCGGCGCCAACTTCTGCCTGTGCTCTTCCCTCCTTCCCGCCTTAATCCTCCCATTCACCACCCGCTCACCCATCGCGCCTTTTTCATCCTTCCATCTAGCCATCCATTCATCTTACGCGTGCATAACCCACCCATTCATTTATCCGTCCACTTTGATCTACCCACGTAATAGGAACAAACAAAAAAATGAGTAAGACGTAACTAGCCCCCTCAAGGAGTACAGAGTTATAGGTGTGTGGTCCCCCTTCATCGAAGGTTTTACAAGGTTTTTCTATTTTTACTTGACCCTCAGTCAGAAGTACACTGCACATATTAATCCAATACAGACTTGCACACACGTAACAGAAAATTTCTGAAATTGTTCTTATGGCATTCAAGGCTCCCTGATATGTTCTGTTTTATTTTAGTAAAATGCTGTTCAAGATCCACTGGAGTGCCTGGCCGGCGTGGCTCAGCGGTTGAGCATGGACCTGTGGTCCAGGAGACTGCAGTTTGATCTGGTCAGGGCCCATGCCCGGGTGGTGGGCACAGGCCTGGGTGCGGGCTCCATCCCGGGTGAGAGATGTGCAGGGGGGCATCAGTAACTCTCCTCATTGATGTTTTTATCTCTGTCTCCCACACCCTCCCTCTGAAATCAATAAAGATATATTTAAAAAACAAACAAACAGATCCCCTGGAGTGATTGCACCCCTCACTAGCTGGCCACTGTTTGCTTTGAGGAACATCACCTGTCCTAATGGAACCTTCAACACACCCTGGACCCTTCCTCTCTCCCTCTGGGCCTGAACTTGAAACTATAAGTGTCACAAAGCAAGGGTGGCACTAACTGCTGTCCACTTTACACCCAAGTTCTCTATCAGTGCTGAACGTACAGCAAGTGCTCCCTACAGATCTGCCGAGTACATACATGAATCAAGTCCCACTGACTTTTATCTTCTCAAATTTAGGCCTTCCCTGTTCCTGCCATTCTAGATCTGACCCTACCAGCTTCCACCTGATCAAAAAGTTTCCTAAAGGGTCACTTGCCTTCGTTTCAGTCCATCCTGCAACCACCAGAACCATTCATCTGAAATGGCAGTCTGGCACACTCATACCAGGCTTTTGCCTCTGTCTTTGGACATGTCCTTCTTACCTAGAAGGCTCTTGTCTCAGGGCTTCACCCAGATATAATTCCTAAGTATCCTTCAGGTCTTTGTCCAGGCATACTCTCCTGAGGGAGACTTCCCCAAGTGTGGCACCAGGCTGTGTTAGGATCCAACTCTGTCGCTCTCTGTGTGACCTTGGATTAGTTTTTTGAATAATTTTTTAATTACAGTTGATATTCATTTAAAAAAAAATCTTTATTGATTTCAGAGAGAGGAAAGGAGAGGGAGAGAGAGAGATAGAAACATCAACGATGAGAGAGTCATTGATTGAGCCCACAGCCTGGGCATGTGCCCTGACCGGGAATCGAACCCCGATTGCCTGGATCCTAGGTTGATGCTCAACCGCTGAGCCACGCCCGTTGATATTCAATATTATTTTATATTAGTTTCAGGTGTGCAGCATAGTGGTTAGACAACTATATAATTTGCAGAGTGATCTCTCAATAATTCAAGAAATTAACCCACTTGGATTAGTTTCTCAGCATCTTTGGCAATTTCCTATCTGCAAAATAAAGATGATAGTAGCACACATGTGATGGGTTGTTGTGAAGTTGGATTAGTTGACATCTGTAAAGTGACTGGAACAGTGCCCACTGAGGTTATCTTTGTACCAGCATCACCTGAGACTGCATTCCTGTCCTGTACTAGATGTGCCTTGGAAGAAACTCCCCATCTTCTATTTTCTCCCACTTTGAATAGGGTCAAGTGATTGGGACCCTGTAGTGAAAAATAGCCCATCATGTGTCATCCTAATGGTTCTGAGAGCCCTATGTCTGGAGAGGATGGGAGTTGAAACCTAGGCCTGACCTGTCTAGGACAGGACACCTATCCATGGGGTTGTTAGGAAACTAACAAGTAGACTCCCAGTATACAGTCTGGGAGCCTTCTTGGAGGTCACAGTAGAACCAGAGGAGCCACAGGGGTAGTGGGGAGGGTGTGGGTGGGGAAATCTGAGCAATAAGAACTGGAACTGAGTTTTAAGGCTGGAATACTTCTCCAGCACTGAATGTAGGTTCTGGTCTGCACATAGAGGAGGATGGGGGAACAAGCTGGAGAGCAGATGGAGGGAAGAGGGAGGGCTACTCAAAAGCAAGTTCCTGCCTGCCCCCGGGGTGCTGAGCCCAGGTGGGGAGAGGGGCAGCTTAAGGGGAGAGCCAAAGGAAGCAAGTGGGAGAAGATGGTGAGAAGGCTAGAGGGAGCATCTCGAAGGAACTTGTGATACCTAAAGGAACATAGAGTGGACACCCATTCTCAAGAATACCTAAGTGAATGAGGATCTGTAAAAGCTCAACACCTGTTTTATCTTCCCTTCGCTTCTGAATTACCTCTCCTCAAATCCAAGTGGCAGCTGGGAGATGGGCTTTGCTCAGATTTCGTCGTGTGGTGAAGCTTAGCTAATCTTTTCCAAGGTATACGGGAAGCTTGGTTTTAAGCTCTCTTGCAGCCCCCACATCTCCCTGCAACCAGGCACACTCTTCTATTTGCAGGAGTTCTGCTAGCTTTCTCCTGAACCCAGCTGGGAGCTGTGGGTTGTCAGAGCAGGCCGCCTGGCATACACAAGGCCCCAGGTGCCACTGTCTCAGGGCACTCAGAAAACGGCAGCAGTGGAGGGCAGTCCGGCTGGCCTAGCAGTGGTGATGGCTGCCAGTGTATTTTACTCAGGACTCTGATTTTAGAAAATTTATCCATGGGAACAGCAGCCTTTTTAGGCTGGTGAAGCCCATAGAAGAGTTCCACGGGAGATGATTAAATTCCATTTCCTGGTGAGGAGGTAACCCCTTGGCACACAGACACTGTGGGGACCATTTGTTAGAGGTATCAGAGAGGTAGTCTAGCATGGGCTAGGTCACACAGCAGTTGGCAAATTTGGCTCCCAGTTTCTTTTTGTAAGGCCCAAGAGCTAAGACTGTTTTTTGAATTTGAAAGGGTTGTAAAAAAGGGAAAACAAAGCCTTGGCTGGTGTGGCTCAGTTGTTGGTGCATTGTTCCATACACCAGAAGGCTGTGGGTTCTATTCCCGGTCAGGACACATGCCCGGGTTGTGGGTTTGATCTCCCTTAGGGGCACGTACAGAAACAATCTATGTTTCTCTCTCACATTGATATTTCTTCCTCTCTCCCTCCCCCTCTAAAGCCAATAAACATATCCTTGGGTGAGGATTTAAAAAAAGAAAACAAAGATGACTATGCAGAGACTATGTGGCTGGAAGACTCTTAAATATTTACTCTCTGACACTTCAATATTTACTCTCTGACCCCTGGGCTAGGAAGCTGGAAGAGAGAACCTCCAGAGTGCCTTCTGATGCTACGATTGTGGCTTGTGTCTCCCCGATGAGTTCAAGATCCCAGCTCTTCTGCTCCTGGCATCCCTTTCCCAGTCAGATTCCAGAGGTCCTGGGCTGGACAGAGTGAGTGTGACTAGTGGGTTAGTCTTGTGTCTGGTTATAGGATTTTGGCTGGTCTCACTGTTACAGACTCTGGGAATATTGGTGATTCTGTCTCTTTGCTCTGCTTGAAATGTAACATCTACCCAGAAATGCACACATCAAAGATATACAGCTCCAATAAAATTTCAAAGTGTACATCCAGAACAAGAAATGGAGCAACCCCAGAAATCCCAGGTCTACCTCCACTCGTTTCCCGTCCCCAGGTAACCACTATCTTGACTTTTTAAATTTTATTTTATTTTTTATTCTTTTATTGAATTTATTGGGGTGACATTGGTTAATAAAATTATTAACCTGTGTACAGGTTTCAAGTACACAATTCTACAATACATCATCTCTATATTGTATTGTGTTTTTACCACCCCAAATCAAGTCTCCTTCCATCACCCTGTATCTCCACTTCGGTTTTTCTACCTCCCCCCACGCCCCTTCCCTCTGGCAATCACCATACTGTTGTCTGCGTCCAGGAGTCTTTTTATTTTTTTTCTTAACTGCTTTGCCCTTCTCTCCTAGCCCCCACCCCACCCCTCTGACAGCTGTCAGTCTGTTCTCTGTATCCATGAGTCTGTCTCCACTTTGTTAGTTTATTTTGTTCATTAGATTCCACATATAAGTGAAATAATATGGTACTTGCCTTTCTCTGACTGGCTTCTTTCACTTAGCATAATACTCCCCGGGTCCATCCATGCTGTAGCAAAAGGGAAGATTTCCTTTTTTTTTTTTTAAGGTTGAACAGTATTCCATTGTTTAATGTACCACAGCTTTTTTATCCAATCATCTACTGATGGGCCTTGGGTTGCTTCCAGATCTTGGCTATTGTAAATAATGCTGCAATGAACAGAGGGGTACATATATTCTTTTGAATTAGTGCTTTGGGTTTCTTTGGATACATTCCCAGAAGTGGAATTGCTGGGTCATAAGGCAGTTCCATTTTTAAT